TCCCCAATCGGTCAGGCCACAGTCATTCTTAAATAGAATTTCAAGCCTTCATAGTCTACTCATCTCCTCAGTTTGTGCGCGATCTGTCATATCAATACGATTTCGAGGACAAGTGACATAACACATGACTGTCTTTGAACGCGGGACGTCCGCGGTCTTCCCATTCGGCGGCGTGGCGGCCTTTCGGAGATCGGCAAGTCAGCTGGCAAATCAGATGAGCAGCAGATAAATACCCTGTCGCCTGGACGCGTTGTCAAAGACAAAATATATGAAGAAACAAACAAGGAATATTCCACAATAATGCTAAGGTTGATGAAAGATGACCGCGGAAAAGCGACTGCGTGACACTCGGTATGTTTTCAGATGACATGTTGTCACGTATCAGACGAAAAACAGTCTTTATTCTCTGTTTGCGTTTGGTGCCAAGTCTGCAGTCTATATTTTGCACCTACTCTGCATTTTGTACCCGGTCTGCAGTCTTGCAGTCTGCATTTTGTACTGACCTATTGGGAAAGCGTGTGATAATACCGATTCGATTTTCTGCCCAGGCGCTATTTTATGCTTTGTTTAACCCAGTACAATATTGGACTCTGGAGCACAGCCGGTAGAAACCCACGTTTACAACCGTAACACTTCGTCACATTTCTGTTCCCTTTTCTTTTCCTTTGTCCGCCATGTTGAATTCTCAGACGGATTACCGCTGTACACTCGTTCCCAGACTCCCGTTCCGCGTTGCCAGTTTTAGTAACATCCCTTGTGGAGGTACTTGGTTGAATTACACTTGATGCTTCTGCCGATGAACCCTGCGGTATTCATTTCTGCCGATGCCAGGTAAAGAGCGACTTGGCGGTTGGTTTTGCTCGGGTCTTGCTGAGATTGCTAAGATCTTTGATTGACGAGTTCATGTCCTGAAACTGCTCGAAAGTCGAACGTCGGTAAGTCTTTTCTATTTTCTGGTATAGCATCTTCTTGTATTCTCAGAATTTCCGATTCAGAAACACTGGCGAAACGCGAGTTTACGCCGGCCATTTTGTTTTTGCTTGGATCACGCATTATTCACTCGGTAAGTGGTGAATAATTAACAATTAGGCAGAGATAGCGACCCAATCAGATTGCTTAATTCCTAGCCTCGATTCTTCTCGTAACCAACACGCGGAGCTTTCCATAGCCTGTCGGCAAAACGGCTGGCCTAGCGTAACCAGCATATCTTTTCCTTCCAAGAGCTGTCTGATTGCTCTCCTCTGCTCTACTTTCAACTCGTACTTGTAACCGTTTCCTTCCAATGAATGGAGTGTTTCTTGAAGACGCTAAAAACGATTATCTCCCGATTTACCTGCATTGTCAAATGTAATTGAGGAGACACGAAAGTACTTTATGAATGACATATCACTGACCAATCAGAGCAATCTATTAAGTACTTAATTTTAACTAATCAGGATTTTGATTTTCATCTGGTGGACGTAAAAAACGAAGAAACATTGGCGTGCTTACAAGCGTTCCCTTCCCTCCAATCGCGCTTTAAAATTCTAGTTTGCCTCTCTCCTTCCCCTTTGAACGCCTGCCATGCAGGGTAATGTCGCGAAGGAATTTAACGCGGAATCTGATTGAGCTTTACATTTCCCTGACAAATTGAATGATTATTGCACAAAATAACAAAGTTCTTGTCCTCAAGGATCTGTAAAACTAAACCCATTCGTCTTTTTTCCTAGAATTGGCCATTCTTGGCTGTAATGTGTCGGGGGATTCCATGCAGGCTGTGAGGAAAGTTTTTCAAGACATCTGTCACAAGCTGAATCTCGAGCCATATCCACCAGCTGAAAATTTTCCTCCCCTCGAAGTTAAAAGATATTTGACGAAAAACCGTCTCAAGTTCTGTGTGCTGGTGGTGGATGCCGAAACAGTAAAAGATGCTTATATCAACTTATCTCAACGGAAAGTGGAATACCAAGAACTTCTGGAAAGAGCAGCGAAGGAAGTTTGTAAGAACTAACTTCATTTCGGCGATGTGATACCTAAATGTCTTCAATTTAGAAACGCTTGGCCTGAAACGCGGTGGCAAAAACTAGGTCTTGACAGTGGCGGGGGTTTGTAGACGTAACACAGCGTAGTTTCCAATCCCTAGTTATAAAACTGTAGGTTACCCCCTACCTCGAGAATTGACTATTTCCTTTCACCACCAACAAATCTTGAGGAATTACATGCAGCAAGTGAGATGCTCTTTTTTCCAACTACTGCATGCCTAGAAATATCTATACTTTTTTTTTTACAACGGATGGTAGTACTTTAATTACCTTTATTACTTTGCTTTTGCAGATGAAAAGGTCGTCATCTTGATATGCGACACCTGCTCTTTAGAATCAAAAGATGACGAAGTTATAGTAAGTCAAACCATCGAGCGCATCATTTGTGATAAAGGAAAAGGCTTTGTTGCATGGTTGAAAAAAGGAAAACTGTCTGTAGATGCCAGTGTTTTAATGCAGTTTCTGATTTCGAAATGGCCTGCGCCCCAACCAAATCCACAGACGAATCCCTCCATTCTCTAGATATGTGGATAAATCACGAAGTGGTTCTCCTCAGAGAAACCCCTCAAAATCGGAACCAGGACATGGGTACCACGTACCACTTGTGCAGCAGCCATTGCCACACGGCTCAGTGACAGTTAAGCAAAGGCAATCTGGGTCTGTCAAACTGAGGAGTTTACTTCGTTGTGGAGAGATCTCTCTTCATTTAAAAGATATTCAACTATGGGACCCCACATTTACGGTCCCGGATCACATTAATCAAGACCTGTTTCAACAGTATCACGACACGCCCGTGACTGGAGTCACAATCGTGGAAGGCACTGATGGCACACTTCAAGCGTCAATTGATCCAAAGTTGATTGACGTCTCGAGGTCAAGGTACGAAGGAATACAGACCGCTGGCAACGAATGTCTACAGTTAAAAACTCGTATCCGTAATGGACTGGTATCTTTCGATGAAAGCGATGTACACTTTAGGTTTGGAAACTGGGAAATACCTCAGCACATCGTTGAGAGTTTGAAAGAAGAATATTATGCGACACCTTGTGGGGAACTCTACATTCTTTCAGACGAGAAAGGAAACTTACGATGTATAGTGAAAGTCCTTGGAAAATTTGATCGAATTCGCACTTTTGTCAACAAACGTGAATTCAAAAAGTAAATAACTGCAACGTAAGAAGTGAGAATTTTTCAAAATGAGAGACCGACAGAAACGTTTATTTCAACTCGGATTTCTTTCAGTTTTTTGCAAATAATTGATTTTCAAGGAAGCAGTGCTAATGGCAGTGCAATTATTCTGAAAATACTAACATCACTAAACATAAGTAGAAATTTTACAGAATTACATTAAAATGCCACTAACCCCCAAAATTTTTTTTCGCTAATATAAATTTCCTTTTTCTCCTGATCACCACTGCGAAAAAATTATCGTTGTAGCTATTTTCGTTAATTTTCTATGAATTTTTAAAGTTTGTAAATTTGACCTTTTCCATATTCACGACCTAGGAATAGCGGAGAATGGGACGAGTTGGCTTTTGACGTCACTTCGGGAATAGCAATATTTTGTTTCTGAGAAGAATGTATGCGAACATGCGATAGTGTGTCAAAATCGTTGCAGAATGCAAG